CCCAGGCCAAACTGTCTGTCCGCTCTTATTTTTGTACCATATTGCTCTTAAAAATCTCGGTTTGGTACAATTCATAATTCACCAAAACGTCTTCATATAATTAAAACACTAAATTAGTTTAAAATGAAGCAATTTATATCTTTATGCAAAACATGTCTGTCTTTGCAAAGGACTGTAAGCAGATTACAATAAATCCTTTACTTTAATCACCCGTTGTTCTGGTGACTGTTCGTTCGCATGCCTAGAGGTGCATCTGGACTTTGTGCCTTCCTACCCTGTGGCCCTGTACACTAAGCCCTGCAGCCAACACTGGAACCACTGGAGTTTTGACTGTGGCTAGAAAGAGCTCTGTTGGCTGTCACATGATCAGCCAGTCTTCTCTTCGGGGACAGAGTAGTCATCCCAGTTCTGTGGCTAATGTTCCGTTCACTGAACTCTGCCACAACAGTGTACAGCATAGCCATGTGTGTACACGTAAGCATGGCCTGTATGTCTCCACCCAGCACACACTGAGACTCACTGGAGTAGGCCACCATGCCAGTTGAATCTAGAGTTCTTCCTTCGTGTGGTCTTGATATCCCTCAGGTACCAGCAAACCCTCATGGTTACCCACTCTTTGTGGACTCGCCCTTGACTCTCATGAACATGGACCACGAAAATGTAATTACGAGTTCATTTTAAAATAGGAAACATTTAATCATAGGTACATTCAAGCAATGTTCATTTAATGGGTGAGTGCTGATTGGCTTTCAGAAAGAGAGTCCTGGGTGATAGACAACTTCAACATTGCTTAAGCACACAGCTAAAACTCTGGGACACATAGCGTGATCACTGACCACAGCCCACAAGAAGAGTTGGATGCACATGGGTGGGTAAGCGAAAGCAAATCTATACGCAAACATTTTAAGAAAGTTGACCTGTTTAAGAAGCAAAGATTTTTCACAGTCTCAAATTTGAAACAAAAGCTATCCTGCACTGGAGGCTGCCAAGAGTTCCTACCCGTGAGCACCCTTGAGAAAGCAGGTGGCCTTCAGAACTTTGGAGGCTTATACTTGGATCAAGTTTACCTTTATTTTGCTTTTAAGAACATCACAAAACTCGTAGGCCAAAAGACTTCAATCCCCTATTAGGAAGCTCTGGCTGGGAACTACCAGGCCCGCCAACTATTACTGTCTGCCACAGTATTAAAATTTAGCCATGTGTTGCATATAGAAAAGGGGGTTACTGTCTGTGTGTGTCAAGTTCCCCCCAAAGCAGAGAGCAGAAATTTTCTCATAAAAATCACTAGCATGCCCTTTGATAAAAGATGCAAGTGTTTGCAGATGAAGACCACTACAGGTCTATCTTAACACTTTCTGCTCCGGCCACCCAATTCTCAGTGCAGCATTTTGACTGAAAACAAAACAGTTGTTTCCCAAACAGCATTAAATAGAAGAGCACTAAGATAGTACCCAGACGTTTGGCATGAGCCAAGGCTGTCCAAAGCCAAGTGAAGTACAAGCTAGAATTGCTGCGCAACAGAGCAGTCTGCTAGTTCCTCAGTCTCTCCAGAGTCTGTGAACCACCCGGGGAGTCCACTGAGTATGGTTTGTTCAATGCACCTGTGCTTAGCCTGAGACAGCTTTGCTATGTGAAACCGCTCACCACCCAGCACGAGATGGGAAGGGTTAATGCTTTCCAAGCCTTGGTCCTTACACTTGCTCCTGTCCCGTTGACTAAGCCGAGTTCTAGGGTCAAGTTCCCAGCCAAACTGTGAGAGTCTTGACTAAAGAACCTGGATCCAGGAAGGGGTAGAAGACTACATCACTACAAGTCTCAGTTACTCGGGGACACTGCAGAATGCGTGTTACCAAGACTGACTCCCAACTTTCTCCCAGCTCAACAAAACCTATTTCTGTGGCTTTCGGGAGTTTTATTCATGCCCTCACGAGCCAGACTCAGTTGGGTCTGAGCAAGCTGTTTCCACCCATCTTTGCAGAATTTTCAAAGACACTAACTTTCCAAGGAAGAAATCCACACACCAATATGTGGCAGCGACGTTCAGCCTCCTCCAATCCACATTGCTGTCCAAGCTCAATTGTGCGTGTCTCTTGTTGAACAATTGTCATCCGTGCTTGTCTTTGGGTAGACAGATTCAGATTCTTCTAGCGAGTAGACTTGAGACACTTTTAGCTGGACATTCAGCACTGGGAGCATAAGCTGTGTTCCCCAACGGGGTAGCAGTAAATCACTGCTTAGAATAGGAAAAGTGAGCTGACAGTCATCTGATACAACACTTACAGGGCGTGAGAGGCCAGCCGGGCAATAACATCCTGAGGGAGGAATGGAGAAGCTGTGTGGCTGAAGAAGACTCAGGGGGTCATGAAAACATCTGGCAGAGGAAGAAATAGGCAGAGGCTGGCTCTGAGAGACTTGAGAGAAACCAAGTATGAGAATGCAGCCAGCGTGAGGTGGGCGGGGAATGAGCACAGGCTTAGAGAGGCGGAGAGACCTTGGGAAGAGAATGGAATGGGCACCTCAGCCGTGTCTGAGGAACAGGGGCCCTTTGAGGTGAGATGGCAGGAAGGGAGCGCGTGGCTGCATCAGAACTGCTCCTTCGGACAGCGTGGTTGATGTCAACCTTTAAAGGAGATGGTTGGCGTAAAGCCCTGTTTCCGAGGTCGGTCTGTGGTTAGCCAACTCTGGTTTCGGGGCCTGTGGAAGGGTGTGACATCACAGCAGAGAGCATGAACTAAAGCGACGGCGACGAATGGCGCTCATCCTTTAGGGCACGCTCAGGCCGCTGGTAAGTGCCTCTGCTTCCCCGTAGTGTCCTCAGCTGGGGCCAAGCCTTCAACACGTGGAACTTCGACAGACCCCCAAGATCCAAACCATGACAGCAGCTAAGAGATGGAAAGCCACCAGAGTAGCCTGCCTCCCACTCTCTACTTACTAGTGTTTCCTGCCATGCACACTCGACTAAAGCTCCCAATGGCACTTGATCTCTACGTGTCACTGATGGAAATCCATGCATGAAGACGCCCGCAGGACCTCGGAACCAACAGCAACTGAAGATACAGTCCTAGCAGTGTGGCTGATGCAGCTGGTGTCAAGTCCGGAGTGAAGCCAGCCTCCTGGAGATGCTCCCAGGATTAGCCCCACCCATCTAACAAAGCACACCCCTTCTCAGGAGATTGGAAATGATCTCCAGGTGTAACCACACACCCCTGCTCCCATTACTATGGAGGGTTTGGGTCCTGCCCAGGGCTGAGCTCTCTACTCTGGCCTGTGGTGATGGGAAGCAGAGCCAAGTTGCTCCTGGGACATACTCTGATAAAAACACCCTTGACATTTCTCTGCCTCTTAGAGGAAAGCACTTCCCACTTTCCCCAGATAAGCACAGGCCTGCAGCTCTTGGGGTCACAGGAAGTCTATTCAGCCACACCACTCTGGGTCCTTGGTGCTGGCCCGCGAGAATCCCATGGCACACAGAAGATACTGACAACTAAAGTTCAAGTAGTTGTGTCCGTTACAGGACTCACTTTCCTTTCATTCACACATTTTAACTTCATGCTTCAGTTTTCACATCAGGAAGCAAGGGCAGAATCGCGGAGGCGGCCAGACCTGTGGTGACTGGTGTAACCGAAAGGCCACAGGAAGGGCAGGTCTTCAAGCTGTCTTGCCACAGTGCGCTGCATCCCAGTGAGGGGGCACTGCTAGGAGTCAGTCTCTGCACACTGAGCCACCATACCTTCCCATGTGCGCCTTTCCCTACAAGCACGTTTGTTAAGTCAAAGCACAGGCACCAAAGGTTCTGATCCTTCCTCCAGGGCCAGGCTCTCCACTCAAGCCTCAAGACAGCTACTCCAGTGCAGCCCTGGGGGTTCCTCAGTAGCCTCAATTCTTCCCTCAGGACCTATGGTTTGGTATTTTAATAAACACCTTAAGGAAATGGTCCTTACTTTCTTTTCCAGAATATACACTTCCAGAAAGCACACTCCTCCATCCTCATGTGTCCCCTGCTGCTCAGCTGTCTGAGGAGATCAATTTGCAAAGGTTTACTTGGGCTCACAGTCTTGGAGGTGGCACTTCACGGTGGATGCGCCTTGGACCTGCGGCGGGACATGACAAGAAGCCTGCAGCAGAGTAAACTGTTCACCACACAGCTAAGACACAAACGGGAGAAAGGGAGAGACTAGTGTTCCATAACCCCGAAAGGCACACTCCAGTGACCTACAACCTCCCACAAGACTCCGTTTTCAAACTCAGTCTCCTGCAGACAGTGACACAGCTGGGGACAAGACTTTTAACAAATGGGCCTCTGGGGGACATGCCAGCTCCAAGCTTGATCCACAAGGTGGGTCCACAGCTGCTAACCGGCAGAGCAGAAGTTCCGGAGTCAGTCTGGGAGACGGTGCGACACCCTTCTTTTGATAAATTCAAATTCAGGTAGGCTCAGGAACTTCATGGGGGCTCGATGTCAGTACCCCACCTCCCACAGCCGCCCCTGCCATAGCCCCCACGAAGAACTAGCCTCACATCCCAAGGTCACCAGCGCCGAGCCTCCGGCAGGGATTCAGCCAGCCCTTCCCCACAGGACTTGGCCATGCCTGGGCCTGGATTCAGGGCTGAGAATGGGGAAGAGCAGGGCCACCCCTGCTAGGACAGCTGTCAGCCCACCCTTCCCAAAGCCTGACTTCATCATGATGGGGAAACTCAAGGCTGAGGCCTGGAGGGCAAGGCCGTCTTGGGTGGTATGAGAGATATCCGCCCAAAGAAGTCAGCCAGGAGGGCTGGCCCTCGGGGTGGGTGCGGCTCACCCACACATTGCCACAGACCAGTTACCATCCCACTGCGTCTTGGGGAAAAGGCCTATGCAGGAGACTAGAGCTCCTAACACCAGAATTTCCTCTCAGAGAAGGCCACACCTTCCCTGCTGCAATGCAACGCTCTTATGGTCCGCTCACGTAACTGTCCAACCATGAATCACCAGTGAGCCACAGTAGGCCAGACACACCAACTAGTAAATTACACTTTATTTCATTTACAGAGGGGCCTTGTGGCAACGAGGTGGCATGGGCGAGCAGCACCTGGATGAGCACACGGAAGAGGCCATTGCAAGCACTCAGACGAGCTTGGTGCAGCTGCCAGTGAGCAGGCTGTGGGAGCCGGAGGGGGCAGGCAGGAAGGCATACACTGACCAAGCCTCTCTTTGCTTCCCTCCAGGCTGGGACCAACTGCCCTGCACCCGCAAGGCCACATGCGCCTTGGACACACAATGTGAAGGTAGCAGGTATCCCATGAAAACCCAACAGCAGGGGCATGGAGAGCGGGTCCTTCCATGCCTGGCAGTGACATCACCAGCGGGGCCCTGCCCTCCCCGCTCCACAGGCTGTAGAGTTAAAACTTGCAAGCCCCCATGCCTGCCAGATGGGAATCCACTCTACCAATGCTGGGCATGCTCTCCTGCACGTCTGCACAGCCCTAGGTGGCAAGCTCCATTCCCTCTCCAGCTCTGGAGTGCCCGTGGTGATCTGCAGTTCCTGAGCGTGACGGTAGCATTTGGGTGCTATTTCCAGGCTGGTGCATGGGTGCCAGGATCAGCGGGAGCCCCCGAGGCAGGAGCTACAGCAGCTTGACATAATTCTGTGGAATCAGCCCTCTTTTGCCGTTCAGGGTTCCTTCAAGCCAGCCAGGTTCCCTTGAGGTCTGAACTGAAAAAGAACAGAGACCATTTTACCAGACTGCTCCTGGAGCTCGTCCCTGACACCCACCGTGCCGCGGCGTTTCTTGCAGTCTCAACCATGGAGCGGCCAGGCAAGAGCAGGCCACTTCCGGGGCCCGAATAACAAAAGCTGCCATGGGGGTTGCTGGGCTCCTGCCCAGGACTGGTAACACAAAGCTCACCTACCTAGTCCACAGCTTCCAACCTTGCTCCTAGTTCGCTGTGCACCAAGTCGTTCAATAAGCTCCCGAGAACAGGAGCAGAGCACTTTCCCCTGCTTCAAGTCAGAACCCCGTTTATTGGTCCAGTGCACACAGGGTCCTTCCCGCAGCTCCAGCAGCGCTGAGAACCCCCTACCCTGTCAAGCAGTTCACCTGAGTCAACTAGAGAACTCCCAACTGGGACTCCAGGGCCTGCAGTACTTCCCACTAGGTAACTCTTCCACTTCAGATTCAGGAAGACAGTGTCTCCTTAAGGGAGGTCCGTGTCAAGCTTTTCCACGAATCAAGTACACCATGATCTCACTGTCTCACTGCTACGCCGGATGAGGAACTCCTCCTAGCAGGCCTGGGCTGTATACGTCTGAGCACAGTGCCCAGCACACTATAGGTGTCAATGCATATTTGTGATAGCCACATGACAAGGATCAGACTGGATATCAATAACCCAGGGCTCTGGCCAATACACTAGCATTTTGGAATCAAACACAAAAGAATTTAAGGGACCCCAGGTGAAGTACCAAATTCTGGACAGGGGCAGCAGTCACATGCCTTGCAGGGAGGGGGCAGTACTTGCCCACAGAACAACCCAGCAAACAGCTCTGAAATGCAGCTTCAGATCACGACCAACACGAATTACTTTATCCTGAGTGCAGGCATACACACACTTCTGTCATGCTAGGAGATGCCTTTCTGTGTGTTGTGAATATATGTTTCTCTTATTGGTTGATGAATACAGCTGTTTCAGCCTATGGACAGGCAGGATGTAGCCAGGCAGGAATGATAGGCGGGGCTACCAGAGTAGGCGAGTTCTAGGACTAGGGAGACAAGAGAGTGAGCCACCAGACAGATGCCATGTAGCTGTGGAGGGAGCAACAAGTCCAGGCATCACTGGTAAGCCAAGAACAAGGAGCAATACACAGATTAATAGAAACGGGTTAATCATTAAGAGAGAGCCAGCCAACAAGAAGCCTGAGCCATTGACCGAATAGTTTATAATTAATGTAAGCCTCTGTGTGTCTATTTGGGACTAAACAGCTGCAGGACTGGGCGGAACAGACGCTCTGTCTCCACCATCCTGTGAAGCAGTGTTTCCTCCTCTGTGTGAGCTGCTCTCTTTATTCTATGACTTTGTGACTGCCAATCGTGAATTGAGCAATTCATGACCCACTCACGTGGAGAACACCAAAGGTGCAATTCCGACTGCCGTTTTCAATGAGGCCGCTAATCGCTTTCCTCCTTGAAAGACGTACCGTGCACTCTGCTATCTGTGTCAACATGGCCTTCTGACGCTTTCTTCTATGCTCCCTGGGTCCTAAACACTCTACACCGCAGCCACGCCTGGGAAGTACAGACTCACACTTCAGTTACGGCTTTGCGCCCATTCCAGACCCGACGAAGGGCCTCGTGCCTACACACTCCACGTGCGCCTAAGAGGCCAGGAGAGTGAGGCTCCCAGTTTAGGCTACAACCGGGAGCGCAGAACATAACGTATGAGAACTCATGTGCCCTGGCACCTAACCCAGCGTCTCGCACAATCATTTACGCAATAACGAGCAAACGGACTTTAGGTGTGTTTGCAGGGTGACGCGGCAGGCAGCAATTCCCTCTTTCCACCCCGTCACAGACCTTTCCCCCACCTTGTTTCTAAGGGCGCGGCTTTTAAACGCTGTATCCATGTGTTACACTGCATCACCGCCAGCGTATGGGGGGTGGACTGGGTTCATCACCAGAGCCACCTGCTGCACATGGAACCCCGGAAGACTGTAAACCCAAGCTGAGGCGCATAGCTTGCCAGGGCTCATGGTGACTTCAGAAGTATCTGTTCATTCTTTAATCCCACCCCACCTCAGGGCAGGGCCAGCGCTGGCAGGGACCACACTGCAGCTGCTCCGGCAGACAGAAGGAGCTGGCAGAGCATCCCAAAGGGTCTCCTGCCCTGGGAACTAACTGCTGCATGGCAAGGCAGCAGGAGACGCAGGGGCCCCGCCTTCTGTCATTGCGACGGGCGGGCCCTCTCGCATGGGCTACCTTCCCATCTGGTGACCTCCATCCTTCTAGCTAAGAATCTGGATGTTTCCATTATTGGAATCATCTGATTATAAATGGAATCACCTATTTAGCCTTTTCAGTCTAACCTAAGGCAAACTACATACCTGTGACAAATATTTACAATACTGAAGATTCAGCACAGGAGAATACGAGGAACCCAGCCTTGGCTTAGCAAGCCCGACGCGGGACCCATGCAAGCTCATCTGAGGGTTCCCCTCTCTCTTCCATGCGACACACTTCCCTCCGCAGGGAGACCATGGGCTCAAAAGTCACATTCCTCATTCTCCTCCCTAAGCTTTAGCTAAAATACTTCTGTCCCACAAGTCTATATCCCAATCCGCTGATTTCTGAGTTTAGCCAGCATCACGCTGCCTGTACTCATCTGGCTCTGAACAGCTTTCAGAGAGTCCCACATTAGGAAAACATCTGGAAGGCCCTGTTGGGTGGTGACGGCCATACCATCAGCCTCCCAGAGATGCCAAACAGCCTTTCAAGGATTAATCTATGTGCTTGAGACCTTTAAAATTTAATTTCTAGAGGCTTCCAAGAATTAATATGGTCTACACCTGCTGCTCCAACAGTAGAGACACTGGCAAACCCTGTGCTCATGGGCCCTATGGCCCTGTGGGCAAACCCAGGGGAAACCACACTTCATCCCTGACTAGCAGAGCCATCAGTAAGTGTATTTATGGGACTTCTGAGCCCCAGAGAAAGGGGACATTTCCTCTAGCTTTGAAAGGAACACTGGCTGCCCTGAGGCCACACTAGTGAGCACGGACCTTCCTGAAAGAGCATGGGAAACATTTCCCACAGCTACAGAAACACATCTTCAGACAAGAGCTGGAATTCACAGCCTAAGTCCACAGACTCACAGTAAAAGGAGACAGTGAGAAGTTACAGAGTGCCACACTTACTAAAAATCCCCTTCCCTTCCACACACTGATCTGAGATTCCTGTTTGTGATTATTCCAAAGTCCTATGAACAGTGAAGCCCAGGGGTCATACCAGGCCACTGACTGACATAAACTGGTTTCTGTCCTTGCCTACAGTACAAAAACGGATTACACCACAGGATCCTTGTGATGGCTAGAAGATTCCAAACCATTATGTGCACACAAGAAAACAGTCCTGGGTGTCAGGGATGTTAAGCATTGCTATCTTCAGCAAGGGGGTGTTTCTGGACACACTTCCACAGATTGAGCTGTAAATAGTGGCTACTTGGAATGTTGGTTGGCTCCACAGGAGATCCCATGACCTGCCTAACTGTCTAGTTTCATGTTGCTTGTCAGAAGGAAAGACCCCACCGCCATTCAAGGGGCGAACATATTCTGAGCAAATACCGACTTTTTTTTTTTTGCCTCAAAAAGTGACATTTATTCAAAGAGAGAGAGAAAACAAAATGTCCATGCCTTGGCTCCCTTCCCTCCCCCCTCCAGCTGTTCCTCAGCCCCCCAGGACTGAACCCTGGCTAGGGCCAGGTAGCAGGACACACAGGTAGTTTTGTTGTCTGCTACAATGCCCTCTGATGTCCTTGAGGTGACCAAGAAGTTCATGAGAGACCCCATTCGGATTCTTGTCAAGAAAGAAGAGTTGACCCTGGAGGGTATCCGTCAATTCTACATCAATGTGGAAAGAGAGGAGTGGAAGCTTGACACATTGTGTGACTTGTATGAAACCCTGACTATCACCCAGGCAGTAATCTTTATCAATACCAGAAGGAAGGAGGATGGACTCGCTGAGAAGATGCATGCCCGGGATTTCACTGTTTCCGCCATGCATGGAGATATGGACCAAAAGGAACGAGATGTGATCATGAGGGAGTTCCGGTCTGGTTCTAGCAGAGTATTAATTACCACTGACCTGTTGGCCAGAGGCATTGATGTGCAGCAGGTCTCCTTAGTCATCAATTATGACCTTCCCACCAACAGGGAAAACTACATCCACAGAATTGGTCGTGGTGGTCACTTTGGCCGTAAAGGTGTGGCTATTAATATGGTGACAGAAGAAGACAAGAGGACTCTTCGAGACATTGAGACATTCTATAGCAAATACCTACTTTTAACAAGCTGAGAGATCAACTATGCACTGCAGATAAAAGTGTACATAATGTTTATGTAGCATCTGTGCATACACTAGGGTTGCACCCTACTTAAGGGCTTCAAGCTCCTGTGCCTTTAGGACTTGCTCCTAAGGAACAGCAAGTTGTACTGTGCCAACTTTGCATATTTTCCACCGAGTTCATGTGTACCTGTAAGACAGAAGGCTCACAGGAAATAAGACATCTACACTTGGGGAGGAGAGAGTGCCAGCATACCAAGTAGACCTTTTTTTTTTTTTTTTTGAATGCAAGCCTCAGAGGGAGGGGCTGAGGAACCACTGAGATGCCCTGGGTGTTCTAGCCAGCATGCTAGACAGAGATGGCCACCAGCAATATGGGGCACTATGCCCAAGGGAGACATAATCTGGCTAGATGCAACCCTATCTGCACAGACTGTAATGGGCCCTGTAGGGCACAGTGGCCACCAGCATGTCCCCCAAGTGACGGGGATGAAAGAGTTTATACACAGAACACTTACAGTTTCCAGAGGGGGGGGAGGGAGAGGGAGAGAGAGAGAGAGAGTACACACATGCACGCTGGGAATGCTTATCTCTTTGTACATATATGTATGAGTATATACATATTTTAAGACTCTTTTCTAAAAGGCATCAAGGGACTTTGGTGATGGAGAACTTGGGCCTTCAGAGTTGGCTGATTCCATCTATACCAGCAGACTCAGATTTGGTTTAGAGAGACTGGGGTCTCATGACTGTGTGTCCAAATGAGGTGCTATGGGTTCTCATTGACCTAAGTCCTCAGAGTGACAATTTTACCACGAATATTTGACCCAATTTTAACCAAAGAGATGTAAGGCAGTTAAACTCAGATGCAAGTTCTTGAAAAGTTTTCTCATAAAAGAAATACAAAGAAGAGACATCCCCTTTGCTGGAGTTATGTGTGGTCTGGAACTACGGCCATTTCTCACCCCACAAGGACTCCAGTCAAAGACCCACGTCTGCAGCTCAGAATGGTCAGCAAACACGGGGATACTTCGGTCCTGATGACATCTTTACAGCCCTGAGCACCTACTTAGCATCTCTGCACATAAGCCCGTGCACGACGGACTCAGCCAGTTGTGTCTGCTCTGTAGTCCTCAACTAGGGCGTCCTTACAGACTCACCTCTCACCACAGGACGTTGCAAGGAGCCTTGGAGGCTCACACACACACACACACAAGTGACACCGTGTAAGGATTCATCGCGGTTTCAGTACTTCCGTGTCCCCCTGCCATGTGCTGCTCCAACACGTGACGGGACCACTGTGCGACCATGTCCTCCTGACTGATGACTGTATGTGTCATGTCATGGTGATGTGTAGGAAAAACCGCGTGTGAGGGCGCTGCTGTGGTTTTCTGACGTTATCGGGGATCTGGCTCTAGGAGCACACACCACACACATAGAATCTATTTTAAATGAAGCAACTTGCTTTCTAGACAGCAACCCTCACCAACACGCTGCACTTCTGACTACCCCCACAATGCACTGTGGCGATATGTTCCACAGACTCCAAACATTCTGGCTAGTCAGCCATTCCGTTCCAGCAGCATCCAAGGTTCCCCCTGCTTCCTAGGAACTCTTTTGGGGAGCTCCACCCACACTCGACATCACCGTTTCCACAGCAACCAATGAATTTCATAACGAGTGTGACTAGGGAGGGAGGAAACCAAGAGCAAGGGAGGAAAATATATTCACTGAGCCAGAGGAGAGATTTGTGAAATATTCAAACAGGCATAGCTCCTAAATGTCTGTGCATGAATATTAAACATTCAACTAAAATCCACACCCTTATTTAAAATGCAAACTCCAAAGATGTGCACACTGTTCCAGTCGGCAGGGAGGCGCAAAGCACAGGAAGAGGGAAGTCAGTGTGTGGATTTCCGACTCTTCACCCGTAATGCGAAGCGCCTCAGCTTGGTTAGGGAGGGCGGGCGCAGAGAAAACAAAGGGTGAGCGTCAGAAGCCCTCAACTTTCAAGTGCTCTTGGCTTCTTGCCGCAATCAGATGACCTGAATGAAGGCCTACATGGATCAAAAGGGATGGAGACCGGCCAAGATGTGCCCACCACCACCGCTCCTGGAGCTCAGGTCTGTAGTCAAATACGTCATCTCTGTGGGCCAGTGTCAAAGCATGGCCACAAACAGTGGCTGGCACTCTATGTGCAAATATTAGGGACAGACAGAATGGCTCCCACCACGAAGCTCTCGCCAGCACTTACCATCCTCAAAAATGGCTCCTATTTCAAAGGACAATTCCGAGCTGTGCTCTGCCTCACAAGGGTACACTGCACGGGCTTTGCGATTGATGACGCTGCAGGGAGAACACAAGCGTGAATGAGAAACTGAAGACAGAACCCTCACACGCCCCTCCCCATCTCCCAAGTCTCATTCCCACGCCGACTCTGAAGAGGGAACGACAGGGACGTGAGCATCAGGCAGAGCTGTAGCACTTGGCTTTCAAGTAAATGGTGGGTTTCCGATACAAACCTTTCCTGGGGGAGCCTGCCTGGGAAGCTGACCAGATTCTCCTCATCGCCCGGTGGGATGCCCCATTCCAGTACTCAGCACAGAAGGACACACGGGGCATGTTTACCTCTGAGCGCTTCAGCGGAGCCTTAGCAAAGTGAGGGGAAGAGGCACACGCATTGAACTAGCTGCCAGCGAGTGTGTGCGTGTGCCTACACTTCTCACAGCACACTGGTAGGAGCTGCCGACCCTGCTAAGGTCTTCTTTATTTAGACCATTCTGCCCCCCAAAAGGCACACAAGGCTCAGCGTCTCCTAACTTGTGAGAACATGTTCTGAGCCCTCCTGAGAGAAGAGCATAATGGAAAATGGGGAAGCCATACTTAGCCATATCTAAGCCAAGGAAGAAAGATATGCCCCATCTTCCTGGAGACAGAGAAGTTCCTGATGGCAAGAACTATGCCAGCCGATGCTTAGGCAGGCAGACTTGCTACTTTCTCTTCTTCAAACTGGTCATAAGATGCCCACAAAAGTTGGCATTGCCAGTGCCCACTCTGCCTTCCTTTTCAACAAAGAATGTGTTTACATCTGCATTTAAAAATTCTTCTACTGGGCGGTGGTGGCGCATGCTTTTAATCCCAGCACTCGGGAGGGGCAGAGGCAGTCGGATCTCTGTGAGTTCGAGGCCGGGCTGGACCGACAGCCTCCAAAACAATACAGAGAAACCCTGTCTCGTAAAAACCAAAAAAAAAAAAAAAAAAAAAAAAAAAATTCTTCTGAAGCACCTAACTCCATAAATTGGTAGGAAGGACCAAAAAGGGAGAGTAGGTTCCAGTAAGGCTCATCCACTCGCTACACACTCGTCTCAGGAACCTGCAACTGGCCCTGCACAGACAGGCAAAACAATCTACAGAGTCAGCCATTCACTGAAGGTGTCCCCCACTCCTAAACCAGGCATCTGCATTGTGCAATGCATCCGGGCTTTCCTCTCGAGACTTTTAGACAGTATAGTGTAGTGAAGGTTACACGGCACTTACATTATCGGATATTAAAATTCACCTACAGATGACTTCAAATACCCAGGAGGATGAGTGTGGGTCAGAGGTAAGATACAAAATCATTCTGTATGAGCAAGCAGAGGACAGACTGGATAGGTGCAAAGGGCTCCGAAGCCAACCCTCACAGCACTAAGGATGCTGCCCCTGCTTCGGAGACGAGACACAACCCTGACAGGAACTTAGCTGGGGAGGCCAAGGGGTCCAGGCAGGCACTCTCTAACAGAGGCCCTTCCATGTGCTGCTGCCTTGCTCCACACCCACTCCAAGCCACACCCACTCCAACCCACGTACCATTCGGGCAGCTTGTCTACAATGGAGGCCGCAAGAGACAGGGGGAAATGTGGCATCCCGGGGGAAGGAGGTGTGCCGGCTGGGGTGGAGCTTGCTGCGGCTGCAGACTGCAGATTTAGCCACTGCACCATAGGTGGCCGGGGCTGGCTTGGCCTAAGGATACAGATAAAGGACAGGATTAGTACCATAAACACTCTTAACAACAATTCTACAACCGTCCAGGTGCCAACACCCACGTGTCTTCATTCCACCAGGGATAGAGTCCTGTCTGTGCCCTCCCAGGACTAGAACCCAAGCCACTCCAGAAGGAGCCACACCTGGAACTGTGGGTAATCTGACCTTGCCTAACCTACCGCCGTTATCACTGTCTTGGTTGGTTTTCATCCAATTAGCTTTTGTTTCACTTCCTGCCTTCCGGTTCCCGCCCTGATGTCTATTCTGTGCTGGACTACAGCTGAATCTGGAATAAAGACTTCCCTTCCCAAGATGCTCCTGGTCATGGTGTTTAATCACAGCAATAGAAACCCTACCCACGGCAATCAGTTCACTAATTAGAAATGCTCCTGGGCTGAGAGCCAGGTCAGATTCTCTGACAGACCCACTGAAGCTGGGAATACTGCTCACTTATGACCAGACAGGATGAGCGTAAAACATGTTTCTCCTGAACGCACACTGATTCCACAGCTTCCCAAGTCAAGAACCCCAAGCTGAGGCTCTGTGTGCTGCAAATGTCCCCCACCTCCTTCTGCTTATGCAGAGGGTCACACAAACTTAACCGTTAAGCACACGGCCTGCAGCTGAGAGACCAACACACTAACACTCTAGCCCTGAAAGGTCCTTCACCTGGTATTCATATGCGGAAACCCAGAAAGCTCTGCTACTAGCAATTAAGACTCCTCCAGAAAGAGCAAAAGACTAGAGTTTGAAGAAGAAATCTATGAACTACAAACAGTCCTTGGTGTTTGAGTCACTCCTTAGAATTTAAAAAAGAGATGGCTCGGAGGTTAAGAACACTGGCTGTTCTTCCAAAGGACCTGAGCTCAATTCCCAGCATCCACATGGTGGCTCACCGCCATCCGTCACTCCATATCCAGGGATCCAATACCTTCTTCTGGCCTCCCCAGACATACACATAGGTGAAACATGCACCGTATACACATACACATAAAAAATAAAATACCATCTCAAAAAAATCCTCAAGAGGCCAGTGAGCAGACTTAGAGGGGACTTACCCTAGTTTGCTTTCAGCTGCTGCAATAAACACCACCACAGAAAGCAACCCAGGAGGAAAGGCTGTGTTATCAAGGACAGCAGAGCAGGAATTCAAGGCAGGAGCTGACGCAGAGCCACGGAGGGACCTGGTTTGCTCCCCACGGCTCACTCAGCTTGCTTTTCTTACAACTCAGAACAACTGGCCTAATTGTGACACCCCCGTCCCAGTGGGCTAGGTCCTCCCACAAAAGTGGCCGACCAAGAAACTGCCCACAGGTCAATCTGATAGTTATTCTCAATTGAGGCTCCCTCTTCCCAGGCAGGTCTAGCTGTGTACGTTAATACAAAGTTAATCGGTGTGGGCCTCTGAGAATATACCCATCAATGTGGATTACTTACCAACTACCTCAGATCTAGAGTCTCGAAGCTATGATCTACAAAGTTCCTGCCTCCTTACCTGAAACTCACTGCTCCTGCATTCCAGGAGTTAAAAGTCTGCACCATGAAATCAGGCTACAAAACTTAGAAAGAACCAACCAACCCCCCACCTCCAAAGAAAACCAACATATGGAAAGCACACTTATTATCTCCCTGCTGTCTTTGTGGTGCTGGGGTGGAGCCCAGAGTCTGGCACGTGCCCAAGAAATACTCTGCCACCAAGCCCCACCTATGCATGTGCACACAGACAGACAGACAGACACAGGCACGCGTGCACACATGCACACAGATGTGCCCCTTTAACTCAGTTATTCCCAGCACACATGTTCACCTTGACCATGCTTCTCACCACAGTCACCACCCTCGGCTCAAACCAGTTCCAGCCAGTGGCCTGCCTGCCCGGGCACATTCCGGCACTGCCTTCCACTCCTTCTGCAGGACTCCTTCTGCCTGTTTCTCTTCCACACAGCTCCCAGGCTGCCCCCCTTTCAACTCTCCCCTTCACCATGAGAAGGGTCGCCCCTACTGCTCTATGCTGTGCTGCAACATGGTCTCCTGGTGGTGCCAGCCCTTGGGTTCCAGGCAGCCACACTCAGTGAGAGCAGTCCACATGCCCTATACCATCGGTCCCTGAACCCTGGTGCTGCTCTCCAGCTGCCGGCAGCCTCCACGCCTGTGCTAAGCTGGGCTTCCTGCTGACTCCTCTCCTGTCGGGCTCCATTTTCAGCCCAGAGGGAAGGCCAGGGACCTCTGAAGGCCTGTCACAATAAATGGGAGGCAGGCTAGGATTAGTGGCTTCATGACGGTATCAAATATTTCTCCTGTCTTTGTGGCAAAACCAGACTTTCACTCCACTGTCCCGACAAAGCCAGATAAAATGCCAGGCATGCAGAGCCTTCACCCAATTCTCAGCAACCTGTGAGAAGCTGCAAACCAATACATACTTGAGACACCAAATTCAAGATGTGCGCCACTACTGCCGACGGATGCTTAATAACCGGCTTCAGTAAAAGATACTATTCTAAAAGAGCTTATTTACAGAACCTGGCCACTTGGGCAGTCAAAAACCCAGATTCACTCTACGCCAAGAAACTTACACATCTTGGTGATCTGAACCACTGCGCTACAAAAGACACTAAATTCTCCCAGGAAAATGAATGTCTTAGCAGTCAGGAAGGGAGAAGGGCGGGGCAGTGAGAATTTAGAGCCATAGTCAGCCCAGCAATTGCTATTTAATCTCACAGCAACTATTCAGGATGCTGGAGTGGTGGCTGCAGATGAGATGCCGTGCCACACCCCCACCACATCCGCCCAGACAAGGGTGGTGGATGGGACACAGGACGGCCCTCCATCTCCTAAGGAGGAGGCGGCCGCGGGCGGAGACAAACAACGTGACAGGGGCCTTGACAAGGGAAGAGCAAACTCTCCAGCTACTGTCTACACAACCCTCTCAGCTTTCCTTTGTGTTTTCCTCTCACTGCTGTGTTTGGGAGGGGGAGAGTAACCCTTCCCTCTGCAAAGTGAAAGAGCTACTGGAATAACATGGAAGGTAAGGGCCCATGCCTTCGTCTACCTTGTCCTGAACCTGAGACCCACACTTAGCAAACTCTGTTCAGGGGCCAGGTTCTCAACGGCGTCCTGATTTCTGTAACTTCTTCAGCACCGATGCTAACCAGTTCGCCAGGACAGCCTTCCAATTTGAGATAACTGACTCCAACTTCACCTTCTGTATCTGTGTCCTGAGTTTCTCCAGGCACACAATGCACACGCATACGCACACACGTGCACACACGCACTGTATCATTTACTGTTCTGTGGCTGTGAAGTGGTACTATGACCAAGGTGTCACAAAGGAAGAATTTAATTGGGGGCTTGCTGGCAGTGTCAGAGAGTGAGGCCATGATCATCACAGTGGGGTGGGGGGGCATGGGCACAGACAGGCAGCTATAGAGCTGGAGCAGCAGCTCGGAGCTCATGTCTGATTTACTGCACGGAGGCCACTGATCTGGTATGGGCTTCTGAAACCTCAAAGCCATCCCCAGTGAGGCCACACCTCCCAGTCCTCCCTAAAGAGCTCACCCACCAGGAACCAAACATTCAAGTATATACAGGTCACTCTCATTTAACCCCCACAGGCACAGATGTGTGGGTTAGGACGGTGATAAATAATGGCATAATGCAATCTAGAAACAGTGTCTGGGATGGTCCTGCTCTTGGAGAGCTGGGAGCTTCGGGAGGGGAGATTGCACTGCGGAATATGGTTCGGGGAATGGAGTGGGGCAGCCACTTGGGCACAAGAAATGTTGTAATCTTGTCCTCTAGGCAACGAATGGGCAAATCAATACACCCAAGTCCCACAGGTTCACACGTGGACTTTGGTTAATTGTTTTTTGTAATTCAGCATAAACATTCATAGTGGAGGAAAATAATCTTCCAAGACAATTTCTGTTATTCCCTTCCCCTTCTTTAAGACATTCTGAAGCGAAAATCAAAGGACATGAAGGTACATGGAAGGAGGAAGACAGACAGGAGGGAGGAAGTGTGAGATACAGCAGTAAGACGAGCACTGCTGAGGTACATTTTATAGACCATGGAACGGTCACAATGAAACCTTATTTTGCACAAGCAACACATCCTCAGGGAGAGCCACATGGTTCCCTGGAAGGGCAGCCACAGCAGCTTCCCACCTAAGCCCCAAGCCCTCCATGTACCCAATGAATTAACCATCCCTGCTCTCAGATAGCACGGCTCTGCCCGTGTGTCTCCTGGAAGACAGTCCTCCCTGGGTTTCTTTATGCCTCTACACGTCCAACCATCTGGACACCTTGGTTCCTGGCTCTGGGCACTGCTTTTGAAAATACGTATAGGGAAATTGGGCTTGCAGACAACAGAGATTGTGTCTCTCTGAAGCAAAGGGCAGGTTTCACCCATCAAATAAGATACATGGACGACATGGATGGCCTGGATTCCTCTCCTATACTACCTCACACAGGTGCCACCTGGGCCTGTCATTATCACCCCCTGGAAGTGGGACAAGAAAATACCCATGCCCTGACGACTGCTAGTGACTCTGGGCTGGGAGCCCTGTGCCTTCTGCAAGGACACACACAGCTGGCAGGCTAATTTAACAGTGTGCAACACCACAGACGTTCAGACCATCCACAGACCTCCACAGCCATGTTACCTTTGGGAAAGCGTACAAACATCAGCATCTTTGTGTGTTTTACAGTTCACACGAAACCTGGCTGAGAGTCTCTGGGTTAAATAGCAAAAATGGTTGGTGACATCACAATAAAAGTTGGTGTGTCCTAGAACATCAAATGAAATGCTCTGTTCTTTCAGCTTTCAGCCTGGAAGCTCTGCTCCCGTCTTCCCTCTGCTGCAGCTAATTCTTGGCTGCTACGCTGGGCAAACACAGACACTAGCCCCATGTAGAGGGGAGCTGCTGAACCATTACATGATGTACCTAAGTTTCACCAGTTTCCTGAATGCAAAACTGTGGT